TTTTATTGACAACAATGTAGTTTAACGTGAAATTTGGAAGAAATCGAATGTCGGGTCTACTAGTATAATATAAATATGTCGGATGTCAAACAAATGTAGTAAAAAAACTGAGTCTATAATCCATTTTATTCGTTAATAAGATCCAAATGGATTAGTAATCCATTCACAATTTCGTCTAACAACAATATTTTGTAATACAAAGTGTTGTCAACACCTGAACATATTACCGAATGTAATATCGAATCGATACTTTTTAAAGGCTTGAATACGAAAAAAGTAATCGTTAGAACAAGAACTTAATCTTTTCGTAAGACACGCTAGAACAAATGGCTTACAGAGGGATACAATAATATTAGGTCAAGTAAAAAGTTTTTTATTGATTTTTCAAAAGATGATAACTTGGATTGAGTGTTTGGCCATAGAGGAGCAGCTCGTAGTAGATGATTCCTTGTCAATCCCACCAAACACACAGCAAAACCTCCCTGGCCGTCAATCCAGTCTTGGCCCCGTCTGGGCCGCTTCCCCGAGCTTTGACCCCTACCGTTTGCACTCGATGTTGTCGTAAGTGACCCATTTTTCATCGCCAGTCACAATCCGCTTCAGAAACGGGTCGATTTTGTTGTGATTCAGCAGCGATTCGCAGATGGAAGTTCGGTCCATCATGTTTTTTTGCGTTAGTTCGTGTAGCACCCAAACATCGAGCTTCTCCTTGAATCCAAGGTTATGAAAATGGTTCCAAGCGGTTTTCTGGCTTATCTTTAGTTCTTCAGCAATTAAATAAGTGCTCACGTGACGGTCTGTTTCCACTATTTCCATGATTTTATCGCAATTTTCGACGACAGGTCGCGTCGTGCATCTTTGACATCGAAATTACCGGAACGGAACCTAGCAAACCAATTCTGTGCTACACGTTCGCTTACAGTATCGGGCCCATAAACTAAATTAATTTTTACAGCCGCTTTGGCTGCTTTTTCGTCTTGATCGAAGAAAAACTGTAAAATATAGCGAATTTTCTCTTTGCTGGTGTCCATCTTTGATGAGCGCTCACAACGTACTAAGTCAATCAATCGAAAAACTGTCAAAGACAAACTTTTCAAACATTTAGCGCGAATAAACACGTTTTCAGCGCTGTACAGTATGACATGATGCGAAACGTAACACTAGTACTATGGACAATACGCCATCTCTTATATAAAAACCGAACGAACTTCACCTAATATGTTTATTTCATATGATTAGTTATGTGCAGACAATTTATTGAACTCAGATCTTAAATAGGGTAAATGTGCCGATGAACGGACATTTAACTTTATGCACCAGTATATGACAGGCATTCAATGATATGGAAACATTTGATAGCAATTCAGGACGATTCAGTTTTTAAAAGTAAGGCAAATTTTTTTTTTATTCTCTAGTAGCAGTGTGCGGACATATGTATATATTTTGTAAGAAAATAAAACAGTATTTAAGAAAAACGTAAATTTTTATTGAGAATTAATAATAAAAATTAATTAAAACACAAATAATTTCAATAAAAAATACACCCCTTTAAAATGGTGTGCTACAAAAGTTAAATATAGTATACTTGTAAATATTTTTAAGTAACAAGTATTTTGAAATTAAATATAATAGTACTCAAACACATACATTTTTTATCTAAATAAATAACTACTATGCGCTTAAAAATAATCAGTAAAATTTCTTACATTAATGAATATAAATTTAACGCTTAATATCTATTGTGCCAATAGAAATGTTCGTCTTTTGAAGCAAACCAATCAGGCACCTAATTTTCGACTTCTGCGCAGACCATCTTTCTCATAGCTTTCAAACGGTCTAAAATTGTTTGTTGTGCAATATTTAACATTCCTGCCATTTCCTTTTGATTTAGAGTATCACTTCATCCAATACTGCTTGCAGTTCGGAGTCTTCAAACTTTTTTGGTGGTCCTCCACGTTCCTCATTTCTGACATCAAAATCATGATCTCTGAACCGTTGAAACCATGTTTTGCCTGTTGCTTCTGATAGAGCAAGATCACCATATGCCTCGACAAGCATTAGATGCGACTCTGCAGCACTTTTCTTCAAATCAAAACAAAAAATTAATACTTTCCGTAAATCATCACTTTTCGGAAAAAAATTTTACATTTTCAACACATTGAAAAAATATGTTTGTTCAATGACTGTGAGGTATTGAATATGTTTGACAGATGTCATGTCAACAAAACAGAAAAAAAATTTTGGCTCGTTCACAACAAATGGTATAGTAAATAATATTGAGTAATATGATCCTGCGAACGGCAGGCACCTTGCCTCGCTTTCTCGGCATCTCGGATTTCGAAGCAGGCGAAATGATGCTGGTGGATAAGGATGATAATCAACCCGGCGCTAGTACGTCCACTAGGCTGCATCTGTTGAGACCACGGTGAAGGTCCTTATCGAGCAGACAGGTGCATAAGGCGGGTGCTACCCTCCACGCAAAAGCTTCTGGAGAGACTCACGGTCCTAACAGATGGCAACGCGGTGGACGGTGAGGATGAGGACCAATTCCTCATGGAACCGATCTTATAGTAGGGCCATACACGGAAGTTGCCCAGGTGAACCTGCACCATGCGGCGTCATCCTCGGCTGTCATCGCGATCAGGTTCACTTCGGATGGCCTGGGCATACTGTTGCTCCAGGAGCCATAGGTCTATAAAGGAAAGGTTAGAGGACTCAAAACGGAGACAAACCTGTAATCTGAGATCCCTCTAGAGTAGAACTAGAACCTTCGTGTTAGTTAGAAACGATATGGATTTCTTATGTATTTCAGACTTCCTAACACTGAACCTGGTCGCTGTGCAGGCAAAGAACAACGAAGGGGCGGACTATCATGCGAAGCAGCATGCTTACAGAGCAGGCACATCAACTAATACTGCTCTGTATTAGTTAACTTCAGAGATCCAATGTTCGTATTATGGGGGGAGGTGCTGTTATGCGTCTTCCTAGACATCGAAGGTGCTTTGACAATACGTCTCATGAAAGCGTGTCAAGAGCGCATTGTGGCAGCACCGGTACGTAGATGGATATCAGCCGTACTGCGCACTAGAGTAGCTGAAACCTCAGTAGGAGATACTAAAATTCGTCTTGGCACAACAAGAGGTTGCCCACAGGGTGGAGTGCTATTCCCCTACTTTGAAGCCTCGTTGTGGACGATATCCTTGAGATGCTAACTAACACTAGACTACTAACTAATTAAAACTCTCTGCGATATCTTACAAAGGGGATTAAGTCTGCCAAAGGAGTGGAGTGGTAAACATCAACCCCTCTAAAACTACAATCATTCTGTTTACAAGACGAAGGTCATCGCCAGGTCTCAAAAATCTATCCCTTGGCGGCAGAGAGTTGGAGATGGCTAACACGGTCAAACATCTAGACCTCACGCTGGATTCCACTCTACGGTAGAAGCAGCATCTGGATCTGACCTTAGTCAAGGCTACGAAAGCACTAATGGTGTGCAGCCGACTTGCCGGGAAATCCTGGTGCTGCAACCCCAGGATTATCAGGTGGATGCACACCATGATCGTGAGTCTGATTATCCCATATGGGGCGGTGGCTTGGGTTTCTAAAGCATCGCAGCGTTGGGCGCAATGGGTACCTGCACTGGAAGTAATGCTAGAACTCACACCTACATATAGTAATAAAACAGACTGCCAAACAGACTCTGCTTCAAATGACAGCAGAAGGGTTCGGCAGAGGGAAGGTAATCTCGTCCCAGCAGAGGAAGGCTCTAAGTGTTAAAATGCCCCTGGCTCTTCTCCTAAGGGACAGCCAAAGTAGTAAGCTTCACTAAGAAGTTCAAAGTTACCCTTGGCAGTAAGGCGAAATGGAATGATTTCACACTGGACCTACTGCTAAGTGAAAGCACTATCAAGTGGTACACCGACGGCTCGAAAACGTCGGAGGGGATTGGTGCAGGACCACGCACCAAACTCTCCATTATCATGGGAAGTTTTCCAAGCATCTTCCAAGCGGAGGTCTATGTTATAAGTCGGTGCTTAGAGATAATAAACCTCCAACGCAACTATCGCAATGAAAGTATAGCTATACTCAGCGATAGTCAGCGATTAGATAAGATTAGATTTAGATAAGCGTTTAGTGTTTTGTTTTAGTATTTTTATTTTCTTTCCTCAATAAAACTTGGTTTTTGCTGCTTTTCGAGCTCATTTTGGTGGTACATATGTATATATTTCTCAATTCTTTTGAAGATATAGCACTGAGTGACTTTGTGGAGGCACTGCATATTCTTTTGCTCTTAAACTGGCTAGGTGATGATAAACTAGAAGAGATACTTGGAATTGGAGACAAATTTTCTGAGATGGATGGATTTGTTGAAATGTGATCTCTATTACTACCCACAGGTTTCAATACTCCATCACATTAATCTCGAAATTTAGACGATAGTTCAGTGACAACATCGGAAGCAATTTCATACCGAATATATATATATTTGAATCATGCCATTTTTAACGGTTCTCTTAGTTTAAATGCAAAACGTGAGTAGTGTCCGATCAATGGGTGATATCCGGTGACTGGCATACTTACCCTACTTATGTACATATATGCAATTTAATATTTGATTTGTTTACGAGTATAAAAGGATCACTTATTACCTATGTATGTATGTACACTGCGCGTCACCAGATTAGCACTCTTTCATCAGCCTAATACAATTGCTTCCATTTTTTGTATTCTTAACTTGCAACTATTTAACGGTTTTCTGATTTTCTCCTCTTGGTATGAACAATCACTGGTAAAGCAAACATGCGATAAGAATATATGGTTTTTGCTCATTTTTGTTCATTTTAGCCGAAAAGTGATGAATTGACCGCCAACAATATTTGAAAGTATTAAAACTAAAGAAAAAACCACCACTTAATTATGCTCGAAGAGAAACACGGTAACATTTTCCATCGGAGCACAAGATCAAAAAATCTGATCTGATCCAAAATGCATTGTAGTATTGTGGTAACCTTATGATTTAGATATATTTTCGTTAAAAGTAAATAAATACATATTATATATAATATATTATATACATATGGTACAAAGGTATACGCATAAACATACATACATAGATGAGTAATTATTTTTTTGTATCTCATTTCTTTGTAATTTATTACAATACAATTTAATAAACAAGTATGTTGGAGTTGTTAAATATAAAAAATCACTATTACGCGTATAATCTACCTTAATTCGAAATCCATATATATACAACGGAAAAATACTGATTAATCAACAAATTTTAGTCAATATATCTTTATGCTACATGTATAACTGTATTCAATACTAAGTTGTCTAAACAAGTCTTAACCTTTTCGGTCCGAATTTCGACTTTCAAACTCTGAATTTATATTTGGTTAGAAAATCGTAAAAAAATCGAACAGGTACAAAAAAATAATGCCTTATTGCGAAGTCAAACTTAATTTATCTCGTTATTTCGTATATTCTTAACTTCTACTTATTGTAAACTATATAAAATATATGTATAAATGTATAAATATTGTAACAACATTAAAGCACATCAAGTAGTCTTTATAATTTTTGGTTTAGCTATAAGTTTGACATCATTATCTGGAGTGATATTTATGTTTTGGCCATAATATGGGACTTTCTTCAAAACACCGTCCTTGCTCATAGTTGACATCGTCTTTACTTCTGGGTGGATGGATGATGCCGGTTGAGATGGCGTCGCTACTTCTTCTTCTTCCTCCAGAATGATGTCGTCCCCTACCATGACTATGCGGTGGAGATCCTTGTTCGGGACTCGTTGTGTAAAAAGCGACGAATGGTTGACCAATGGGGATGCTTGTGGCATGTGTAGCGGTCCTGGAAGAATTGTTTGCTTTTTTTGTGTAGCTATGCTCTCCTCTACTGTGTTTTCCAAGGCACTCTGTGTGTACACTTTGTTCGTTAATTCCATGGAACTGTACTGTTGCGGTTGGAGCACATGGTCCGAGTTGCAATTTTGTTGTTCTTCCACTGACATTTGTGACACCATTGTTCGACTGTGGTTGTTGCTCAATGCGGTATCTTTCCATTTCTCTAAAACGAACTAGTGACTTAGTTTACAACGCTCATCCAAAATGTTACATATAGCTTACATACCTGCAGCACTACTTCCAGCAGCAGTTGATTTTCTGAAAGGCAATAATTTAGAGGGTTCACACATAATTACCGTCTTGTATGCTTTTCTATATTGCTTGTTCATTATAACATAGATTATTGGATTTATACAGGCAGACAAATAGAGCATAATGTAGCTGAATATGTGAAAGTTCGGATACTCTACATCTTTGTCGGCTACTTTAGCGATCGTTATTGGAAGATAACAGATTACAAACGACAAAAATATGGCCAATACCATTTTTGTTATACGCCACTCATTACGTTTAGCTCTCATCTCCCGTTGATCCTTGATGCGAGAGGGCTTTTGTATGGCGTCCTGCTTTACATCAGTGGAGAAGCTACTGTCTGAAGCTAGGTTAGATGACACCCTATTTTGTTCGCTTTCCATTACCGTGCCCGTGGGAGTTTGGACAGGTCTTAAATTATTTAGGATGGAATTTTGCTGATTCGCATGTGTTTTCAGTCGCAACTCTGACTGGCGTACAACCCAGAATATTTTTGTGTAACAAGCAATTATAACCAAAGCGGGAATAATGAAGGCAGTGATGAAAAGTGTAGTCTTGCTGCTACGGCCATGCTGATCGTTCATAATAGAACATGTTTCCAACTTCTCATCATAGTCAAACGTTCCCCATACACCTAGCAGCGTTGGCAATTGCATACCATAGGAGAATGCCCAACAAAATATTATCATGACAGCAATCCAATGTTTCCTGTATATTTTGGCGTACGAAGCGTGATGAGCAATCATAACATACCTTCAGAAGAAGTATTTACAAATATTGCAGTACGTTCTTAAATTATTGATTTGCATAGAAATAATTTTAATAGAAAATTGGTCTTATAGAAACACATTGAGCAACTAAGCGAGATAAAAAATCATTAATGGTCCCACATAATAATAGTCGTACCATAAAAAACGTCTAAAAACTTAGTTATAGTAAAAATATAAGAAACGTTTTGTAATAGTATATTTCTATTTAATGCCTTTCAAGTCATCTTAACAAATAAAGCAAAGAAAGCAATTTCAAAATTTAGTTATTATATTAGCAGGTAAAATCTTACCTGTTGATTGTTATCATTGCAATGCATAACAGCGATACTCCAATGTTGCCATATTGGATAAAAGGGATTAGCTTACATAAAAATTTTCCATGAGTCCACGTACCTTTTAAAAATCGCAAGGCACTGAAAGGTAGTACTATAGCACAGAATAGTAAATCCGCCATACATAGACTGGAATGCAAAAGTAAACAAATGTTCAGATATGTACATTTATAGTATATGTATATGCGCTTTTACAACGGTTAGTTTTCCCATAGTTTCCCTGCTTTCCTTTCTTATTTAAGTCGTACCCAATCCCATCACTTGTAATAATTTGTACATTACATAACCTCCTTAATTACACTGTCGTTGTTTCCCATATAAAATTGAAATACGACAAATACAACACGGCGAGGTATGTTTGTGGAGTGTGCTATTCTATCAGCTGTATCTGTTTACTTTTTTTTATTGTTGACGTTTAAGTGTCTAAAATTAATAAATTAAATAAATTCCATAAATTTCTTTAATAATATAGAAGGAAGCCACGATATTCAGGTAAATTAAGTTGAAGAAAAGTAAAATCTAAAAATATTTTGTTGTTTCTGCGGTTGCAATGTGAACCAAAATGCCGCTGTTTCAATATGAAGAAGCTTTAATTTTCTTTTTGTTACTTTCCCGTGACATTTTTGTATTCCAAATTTTTCATTACCAGCTGGCGAAGTGTAGAAATATTACATAATATGACATACAACAATTAAGGAGTGCTCACAAGTGTCGTATTTTTTAAGCTATTGAAATACGACATAAGACATAAGACGAAGCTTGTGAATTACCTAATTATTATATTTTAAGAGGGCATCAACATTAAAACTAGTTTATATTCGTATACATTAGGGTGTCTATTCTCTATCCAAGTTAATTTTTTTGTTGTAAACACCCCCTGAAGTTTAACTTTTTGCCTTAAAAGAGGGATCCAAGTAAACAAACTCTTTATTTTCAAATATAAGCACACTTAAGGTTAAAAAAACTATAAGTGTTTTATATTTTTTAATAATTTTATTTCGAAATCAACAAAGCAATTAACAATTTAAATTAGATCATCAGGTTTACACTTATCACTTTTTTTTAATATTCTTTCGTATCTTTAGCCAACAACATTTTTTTGAACTTATGTATTAACTAATTTAAATATTTGTATTTAATAATTAATCGATCCCGCCTTAAGTGAATGATCTAAAATATCCGATTGGGAAGCGATTCATACAAACTGTGGCCAGATTCGAAAACCATGAAAGTTAACCATCTCCACACCTTTTCTATTACATTAATGTCACACGATCAGTATGTTGTGTAGTTGTTTCAACTGATGTTCCTCCCTTCGAAGATCATGGAAATAATATTTGTATCCATCAGCCCTTACAAATTAAATTTCGTTTTAACTGAAAATACATATTTCGGCCGTATTCCGACTTGTTACGCAAGAAATTGTATATAACTTTTCGACTTCTGCCAACTTTTTTCGATCTTTCAATCATTGAAAAGTTTAACACTTCACACGCTTCGACTATTGTATTCTATTCAATCGATAGCCACCTTCATTTAGCCATATTAAAAAAATAAAGTACTTAAGTAGTACAAAAAATTAGGTGTCAATACGTATTCAAATTTCGATACCAAGTTAATACAAAAAAAAAAGCAATTGTATTAGCCCGATGAAGGTGTGCTAACCTGGTTACGCGCAGTGTATTTCTTTTCCTATGGGATTCTTTGATTTTTTGATATTTCCGTGATAAAATTTAGCAAACCAGTTTTTTATGCGATACAATCATCCCTTGTTAAGTTAGCTCTATTTAAATATAGTTTGTTCAATCCCCAAAATAGTGAAAAAAAAGTTTATATTTAGCGAATAATCTAACCAATTAAAAGAAATAATATTTTTTCAAATCCATTTTCATTAACGTCTAAAGATCTAATGTATTTATAAGTGGTAGTATACCATATACATACTCCTATACATCGTTTTGATAAAAAGATTTTGTAAGTAATGACGAAATTACGGAGAGAGAATATAATCTATGTAGCAAAAATTTACGATAATTAGTTTCTACTAAAAATGCCAAATCAAATATAAAAATAAATTTAAAATTATTTTTTCAAATATCGTTTTTCCTTTGCGCGATTAATTCGCGGAAAACTGTTTTTATTTTTTTTTGCAAATTAATGTTTTGTTGTTGTTTTTTCGATATTCGTCGTGCCATGAAATAAAGAAAATGAGTACCCCGTATAAGAAACGTTTTGAGGCATCCTTTCCAACGAAGAATCCTGAAAGTTCCAAATGGACTATTAAAATGTGTTATCTGCAAAGTTTTCAAATACGAGTTGTATTGTATATTGGTGAAGAGGTGGTCTGACCATTATAGAGAAATTGGAAACGTAGATGACAAGCCAGGAAGAGGGAGGAATTACGTGACATCTCAAAGTGAGGAAAAAGCTATTGTTCTCCTCTTTGAGAAGAAACCACTTCTCAGTCTATGAGAAACTAAAAAAAATTTGTTTAGCAATGGATTATATACATCTCTAAATACAATACAGGGCATACTTCAGAGGTCTGGCATCAAACGCAGCAGTACTGTAATCAAACCACTACTTTCCGAAAAAAACACATATTTAAAAAAGGTTTTGTATTGTTTAACACTTTAAAACGTGTTTGGCTAAGAAAAGGACACATGTTCATATGAATGAGAGTTAAGCACTCCAAAGAGGTGCATGTTTATATTGTAGATGCTTCTCTCGATGGATTCGATGGAAACAAGAAGAAGAGCCATATTGTTACTTTAATGAAAGCCAAAATATCAAGAAAACATTTAACGTCAACAAAAGATTACATTCGGATACTCCAACATACGTAAAGGTCACTTCCTGTGGAATATGCGGAAAATTTAGTTCCAAGTTGCCATCAGACTATAATACCATAGATAACACCGGGGGATGTTTCTCAATAAACGATACCTACACTTTGGAAAACAAAACGTTATTTTTTCTACGCACTGTATAACATAATGCTTCAAATAAAATTGGATTTTATGATAATTACAAATTCAGTGGGTTGGCCCGAGAACATCTGATCGTCTAAATAAGAGCTCGGTGAGTATGTGCCCCGATTTTGCTTATTTTGAACATAATTTTGCTAAATAACTTAAGTTCCTTCAAATGTTATGTTTTAGTTAAGCTGAGATAGCTCGAGTACAGTATTTATCATTTCAAGATTGTCTATTACACACACTTATTCGATGAGATTGCAAAAAATTTAGTTATGTCGACTTAACTTATATTATTAAAGTTATAAACTGTTTTTTTTAAATCTCTTCCCAGATACGAACATAAGTACATACCTTATTATAAAAGCGGCGGCTACGTTTCGAACTTTCGGACATTTATACAAAGCAGCAACGGTGAGAAAATTTCCAAATATACCTATGATCATTATTATAAAGGTTATAACTCCAGCAAATGTTAAAACCGTCGGAGAGAACCTGCAAAGTAATAAATTTTATTGGCATCCCATCATTATGTTAGTCTAAATTTATATGCCCACATACTCCGTTTTATCTCTTCCGTCCTCATTCGACAAATTAGAGTAGGCACTTGTGAAATCCATTCTGAAAAAAAAATTAAATTATGATATGTTTATGAGAAATCATCAAGATGTATTATGTTTTCCGTAGAAAGTAGTTAATAAACAAGAAAGGAAGAGACAAGTTCATTTATAAAAGAGCATTTTATCCTTTCGTTCAATTAGTTTGATGACTACATTTTGCTTCGTGATATTTATAATAAAAATAATCAAACTAATACAAATCACTATATCTCTTCTATTAGTGCCACAATTTTTACTAATCAAATTATTATTAATCTTATATTATTTATTCGTGCGAAAGCTATGTCAGGAGCTCCTAGGATTAAAGAAACAAGTTAATCTCCGAATCCTCCAATTATAATAGGTATAAGCATAAGGAAAATTATTACGAAAGCATGGGCTGTTACAATTACGTTATAATTTTGATCGTCTCCGATTTAAGTTCCACGGTGGCCTAGTTCTGCTCGAAGTAAAATTCTAAGGGATGTACAACTATTCCTGCTTAAGCACCAAAGATGAAATATAATGTTTCAATATCTTTGTCATTTTTTGAAAGTAATCATTGTCGTGATTAAATGAATTTTATTATATTTTGTTTTAAATAAATTTATGCATATACAGTTGTGTTCAAAACAATAATAGTGTCCGAGTTAGAATCATATCATTGAAATTTCGCTCGTATTGGTACGTGTAAATGAGAAGTTTGACATTTTAAGATACTACGGTATATATCAAAATAAATAAAGTTAATTTCAAATGAGTTTCGAGCCCATCAGTGGTTGTTATTGGTTCATTGCGTAATGTACTGTTCATAATGATAATAATGAAGATTGAAAAGGGTACTTATTTCCATTTTATTGATATATATGCAAACGAAACAGTAAGCATATTAATTACACGTCATCATTATTAGAAAATTATAATGACTGTTTTTATACTCTCGCAACCTGTTGTTACAGAGTATAATAGTTTTGTTCACCTAACGGTTGTTTGTATCACCTAAAATTAATCGAGTTAGATATAGGGTTATATATATATAAATGATCAGGATGAAGAGACGAGTTGAAATCCGGGTGACTGTCTGTCCGTCTGTCCGTGCAAGCTCTAACTTGAGTAAAAATTGAGATATCTTTATGAAACTTGGTAGACATGTTTCATGGTACCGTGAGACGGTTGGTATTGCAGATGGGCGTAATCGAACCACTGCCACGCCCACAAAACGCCATTAATCAAAAACAAATAACTTGCCATAACTAAGCTCCGCAATAAGATACAAGACTGTTATTTGGTACACAGGATCACATTAGGGAGGGGCATCTGCAGTTAAAATTTTTTTTTAAAAAGTGGGCGTGGTCCCGCCTCTAATAGGTTTAATGTGCATATCTCCTAAACCGCTAATGCTATAATAACAAAATTCACTGGAAGCAAATGTTTTTAGCACTTCTATTGACGGTGTGAAAATAGTTGAAATCGGGTGGCAACTCCGCGATCGAACCAAAACTGTTCAAGCCCCTAAGTACTAAATATGTGGACCCCAGTGCCTATAGTTGACCTTCTACCGAAAATATCAGTCAATCCACAAAGAAATCTCAAACGAGTATACCATTTGACTTTGCGAGAGTATAATATGTTCGGTTACATCCGAACTTAGCCCTTCCTTACTTGTTTTAATTTAAAATTTTTAACGGTTAAAAGAAAATATTGCACCGACGAGAAACACAACCTTATTATAAAAGTAAGAAGAAATGGGGGAAAAACTTATTCGGAAATAGAAGACTCCTGAGATGTATTGTACTAATGATAAATTATAATAAACTAAATACTTGTATGTCAGAAAACCAGAAAAAAGAAGCAGGAAAAGAAAGACAACTGCAACAGACGATCGATGCTTAGTTAGCTAAAGCAAAACTAATCCTGCTGCGTCTTCGTTTGGTATCTAAAAGCAACTAAGTGCCGTTTCACACAGGGACTCGAAAGAGTCTCATACCAGTTTATTGTGGGCGAGGGGACGACGAGGAAAGACGAAGGGACCGTGCCACTCGTGTTCAGGTGGCACACTTTGTGTTCTTGTTCGTAACAGCTCGCTGCTACCCTTTTCAGCATTCCTTTTCACTTTCAAATTCTTTGAATGGTTGCAAGAGCGCTCGGTTTCAAATGAATTCGATCGCAAATTTGAGTTCTGTTATCTATTTTTGTATGTAATATGCAAATACGTATGCATAGAATAATAGAAATATTATGACAAATTGTAAATAAGGAGAAAATTAAGATATAGATTATGGAGTAAAGATACTATGAATTTTTAATACGGAGTAAAGAAATTATGAGTGTTTATTACTTAAAGATTAGGAAATTCCTATTATAAATTTGGCCTTGAAAATATTAGTAGCGGATATTCAATACATTCTTGTGGATTAGGGAATTCCCGTCTTTAGTATTTCTTTGAAACTATTTAGCGGGTAGGTACTTGTATTATGCATATTGTTCTACCATATTCATGGTAATTCATTGCAAGCAAAATGTGTGACCATCATCTCAACATACAAATGAAATACGCAGCACGCAGTGTTGCGCAGTCGAACCGCACAAATATTTACGAAAATTTTGTGAAAAGGCATGCAGAAAAACTAGACTCGAGTTGCTGGACTCTTTTTGACCGTGTGAATGCCCAGAGCGACACCAAAAAAAAATTTGAAAAACATCAGACTCTTTTAAATCCCTATGTAAAAGTGCACTAACATTACAGTAAGTACAGTGACAATTCGAAGACGACTATTACTATTACACCATCAGCCACCACATCATCAGTATCAGCAGCGATGAATCCATTATCATCACAAATAATAACAAATAGTGTTAATCCGATATTCAAGACAACGGACACCGGACATTAAGCCGACACCAAACTAATAGCATATATACATACTTATGTATAACGTTAATCCGACACCAACTGATAACATGTGTGCATACATACATACTTATGCATAACATAATTTGACACCAAGTTGATAACCTACATACTTACGTATAACGTAATTCGACACTCGATGAGTAGTCAATGGATATGATCGGTACATCAAAGAAATCCGACCCCAAGTTAATTGGACACTTAAACAATTATATTCTTTTGATGTTTTGCCAGCAAGTAAAGTTGTGCAACAACAAGGAGATCAAATTAAGGATAGAAGAAAGTATAAAAGCCACGGCTTGACATTATACGAGACAGTTGATTTCTAATGTCTAAAGTGACAAGTGACAACCAGTGACCAGTGATAACCAACTGAAGGTGCCAAGGATAAAGGACAACGAATTCAACAGCCACAGCAAGGATCCAGCACCAACTTCCTCTAAGTATCTCGCTATTTTCATAAAGAACTTATTCTTCCCTTGCAGCTCAATAAACCACGATTTGTAGAAGAAAACCAATCTTTTATTTATCGAATAAAAATAAAATAGACTTGCAACGCAAAGACTATTATTGGCGCAGTCGGTAAACCAAACAAAGCAAGGAAGTTCTTTTTTCAGTGAATTAAGACAAGAAATCGGTAAAACAAGTAGAACAATTTACTTGTGTATATCGAGAAGTTTTTATGAAACCTTATCACATACCGAAAAGGAGGCAACAAATAGATACAGAGGAAGAAATGTCGACATCAGAGCAATCAGTACAACAAGGGCCTGTAGGAAACACGATGGAAATTAAATCCGATCCGCTAAAATTCATCAATAGAATGGGTGAGTATAATGGTGAAAATACTGCAGAGTTAGTGCAGTTCGTGAATAAAGTAGAGTTATTACTACATAGTATGAGTAATTACTCTCGTAATTACTAATCGCAAAATTTTATTGTGTTACAAATTCGCGACAAAATAGTTGGGAAAGCAAGTACCACACTATTAAGATATAGCATTGATACGACAAATTGGAGTGAGATTAAAAGAATATTAATCGAAAACTTCAGCGAACGAAATACCTTTTTACAGTTACATGAAAAGGCAGAAAAAGTAGTTTACAAAAACATAACGCAGACGTATAACGAATTATCAAATATACTAACGCGAATGAATAATAAATATCATCTATTGACAGAAAGATCAATAGATAGAACCCCAGAAAGTAATGAAGAATCAGTTTTAAATTTGTTCAAAGAAAAAATACCAATCAATGCAGCGAGCATTATAATATCACGTAATATAAAAACATTATTCGAAGCATACCGATTATTAGAACAAAATAATTGGACACGGTTTGATAATAAGTATAGAAATTTTAAAAATGTTTCAAGTTTTAACAATACAAATAAAGGATATGTTCACACAAGTAGAAATAATCAGCAATTTAACGAATATAGAGGACAGTCAGGAAATATAAGGCAAGATTTACAGTATAATGTGCAAAGAAACGACATGCAGCAAAACGCACATCCACAAAATTTTCAATATAACGCGCAACGAAATTCAAAAATGAACAACAGCAAAATTTTCAAACGCGAACACAATTTTCAAGGGCAAACAATAATACTAGGCAAACAAGAAGACAGCCAGTCGAACCAATGGAAGTAGATAATGTATTAATAGAAAATTTTCCGAAACCAGCCTCGGAGGACGAAATATACCAATGATAAAAGTAACGATAGGAGGAATTATTAGAAAGAAGATTAAAGACACCAAAAAATGTTATAACAGGTAGACAACAGGAAATAGTGGAGAAATACATTTTGACTTGGTTACCCAGTGAATTTAACGACAATAAAAAACAAACAATAACCTTTTTAGTAATGAATGCCTTTAATAACAGAAAATATGACGGAATATTAGGAAACGACATTATGATTCCATTAGGAATAGAACTTTCATACAAAACAAACACTTTGAACGTGAGTGGACAGAAAATAAAGTTTAGGAATTTAGAGGAGAATAAAAATGAGAATTGTAAAAATTATAAATTAGATAGTGAAAATAAAGAAATGAACGGGGAAAATCATTATGAAGATATAAAAGATTTATTTAATGAAGAAAA